AAGGACCCAATGAAGCCCACAAGAATAATTTAAAAGAAGACATACTACAGGTACTCAATGAGAATTTTATAGAGATGATACTGGATAGGGTCAACCAAAATGTACAGGAGACACTCAAGAAATTCCAAGACAATAAAAATAGAGAATTTGAAAAAGCAAAAGAAGAAATAAAGGAAACCATAGAAGCACTGTATAAACACCAAAGTGAAAGAGAGAACACAATGAATAAATGGATAAATGAACTCAGGACAAAAATAGACAACAATAAAGAAGAAAACAGCCAGGATATGGAAAACCTCAGAAAAAAGAACGAAACAGAACTGCAAAACAAAACGGAAGGCCAATCCAGCAGAATAGAACAAACAGAAGACAGAATCTCAGAACTTGAAGATGAAATGGTAATTAAAGGAAAAACTGAAGAACTATTAATTAAACAACTCAAGACCTGTGAAAAGAAAATGCAAGAACTCACTGACTCCATCAAAAGACCAAACTTGAGAATCATGGGCATCGAAGAAGGAGAAGAGGTGCAAGCGAAGGGACCCCTGGCAAACCTGACTAAAATGAGGAGAGAAAAAACCCAAATTAGTAGAATTAGGAATGCAAAAGGGGAGATAACAACAAACACCATGGAAGTCCAGGAAATCATCAGAGACTACTTTGAGAACCTATATTCAAATAAATTTGAAAATCTAAAAGAAATGGACAGATTTCTAGATACATATGATCATCCAAAACTGAACCAAGAGGAAATTAATCACCTGAATAGACCTATAACACAAAATGAAATTGAAGCAGCAATCAAGAGTCTCCCCAAAAAGAAAAGTCCAGGACCTGATGGATTCTCTGCTGAATTCTATCAGACCTTTAAAGAAGAACTGATACCAACCCTCCTTAAACTGTTCCATGAAATAGAAAGGGAAGGAAAACTGCCTAACACATTTTATGAAGCCAGTATTACACTTATCCCAAAACCAGGCAAAGACACCTCCAAAAAGGAGAACTATAGGCCAATCTCCTTAATGAACATTGATGCAAAAATCCTCAACAAAATAATGGCAAATCGAATTCAGCAACACATCAAAAAGATTATTCACCACGACCAAGTAGGCTTCATCCCAGGGATGCAGGGGTGTTCAACATACGAAAATCAATAAACGTAATAAACACATTAACAGAAGCAAAGACAAAAACCACTTGATCATCTCAATAGATGCAGAAAAAGCCTTTGATAAGATCCAACATCATTTCATGATAAAAGCTCTAAGAAAACTAGGAATAGAAGGAAAGTTCCTCAACATTATAAAAGCTATATATGACAAACCTACAGCCAGCATTATACTTAACGGAGAAAAATTAAAACCATTCCCTCTAAATCAGGAACCAGACAAGGATGCCCACTATCTCCACTCCTATTCAACATAGTACTGGAATTCCTAGCCAGAGCAATTAGGCAAGAAGAAGGAATAAAAGGAATACAAATAGGTAAAGAAACTGTCAAAATATCCCTATTTGCAGACGACATGATCCTATACCTTAAAGACCCAAAAAACTCTACTCAGAAGCTTCTAGACATCATCAATAGCTATAGCAAGTAGCAGGATATAAAATCAACATAGAAAAATCATTAGCATTTCTATACACTAACAATGAGCAAACGGAAAAAGAATGTATGAAAACAATTCCATTTACAATAGCCTCAAAAAAATCAAATACCTAGGTGTAAACCTAACAAAAGATGTGAAAGACCTCTACAAGGAAAACTATACACTTCTGAAGAAAGAGATTGAGGAAGACTATAGAAAGTGGAGAGATCTCCCATGCTCATGGATTGGTAGAATCAACATAGTAAAAATGTCGATACTCCCAAAAGTAATCTACATGTTTAATGCAATTCCCATCAAAATTCCAATGACATTCATTAAAGAGATTGAAAATCTACTGTTAAATTTATATGGAAACACAAGAGGCCACGAATAGCCAAGGCAATACTCAGTCAAAAGAACAATGCAGGAGGTATCACAATACCTGACTTCAAACTATATTACAAAGCAATAACAATAAAAACAGCATGGTACTGGCACAAAAACAGACATGAAGACCAGTGGAACAGAATAGAGGATCCAGATATGAAGCCACACAACTATAAGCAACTTATCTTTGACAAAGGAGCTAAAAATATACGATGGAGAAATAGCAGCCTCTTCAACAAAAACTGCTGGGAAAACTGGTTAGCAGTCTGCAAAAAAACTGAAACTAGATCCATGTATATCACCCTATACCAAGATTAACTCAAAATGGATCAAGGATCTTAATATCAGACCCCAAACTCTTAAGTTGATACAAGAAAGAGTAGGAAATACTCTGGAGTTAGTAGGTATAGGTAAGAACTTTCTCAATGAAACCCCAGCAGCACAGCAACTAAGAGATAGCATAGATAAATGGGACCTCATAAAACTAAAAAGCTTCTGTTCATCAAAAGAAATGGTCTCTAAACTGAAGAGAACACCCACAGAGTGGGAGAAAATATTTGCCAATTATACATCAGACAAAGGACTGATAACCAGAATATACAGGGAACTTAAAAAACTAAATTCTCCCAAAACTAATGAACCAATAAAGAAATGGGCATGTGAACTAAAGAGAACTTTCTCAAAAGAAGAAATTCAAATGGCCAGAAAACACATGAAAAAATGCTCACCATCTCTAGCAATAAAGGAAATGCAAATTAAAACCACACTAAGATTCCACCTCACTCCTGTTAGAATAGCCATCATCAGCAACACCACCAACAACAGGTGTTGGCGAGGATGCGGGGAAAAAGGAACCCTCTTACACTGTTGGTGGGAATGTAGACTAGTACAACCACTCTGGAAAAAAATTTGGAGGCTACTTAAAAAGCTGGACATCGATCTACCATTTGATCCAGCAATACCACTCTTGGGGATATACCCAAAAGACTGTTACTCCAGAGGCACCTGCACATCCATGTTTATTGCGGCACTATTCACAATAGCCAAGTTATGGAAACAGCCAAGATGCCCCAGCACTGACGAATGGATTAAGAAAATGTGGTATCTATACACAATGGAATTTTATGCAGCCATGAAGAAGAACGAAATGTTATCATTCGCTGGTAAATGGATGGAATTGGAGAACATCATTCTGAGTGAGGTTAGCCTGGCCAAAAGACCAAAAATCGTATGTTCTCCCTCATATGTGGACATTAGATCAAGGGCAAACACAACAAGGGATTGGACTATGAGCACATGATAAAAGCGAGAGCACACAAGGGAGGGGTGAGGATAGGTAAGACACCTAAAAAACTAGCTAGCATTTGTTGCCCTTAATGCAGAGAAACTAAAGCAGATACCTTAAAGCAACTGAGGCCAATAGGAAAAGGGGACCAGGAACTAGAGAAAAGGTTAGATCAAAAAAAATTAACCTAGAAGGTAACACCCATGCACAGGAAATCAATGTGAGTCAATGCCCTGTATAGCTATCCTTATCTCAACCAGCAAAACCCCTTGTTCCTTCCTATTATTGCTTATACTCTCTCTACAACAAAATTAGTGATAAGGGCAAAATAATTTCTGCTGGTTATTGAGGGGGGGGAGCGGGAGGGGTTGGAGTGGGTGGTAAGGGAGGGGGTGGGGGCAGGGGGGAGAAATGAACCAAGCCTTGTATGCACATATGAATAATAAAAGAAAAATGAAAAAAAAAAAAACGGAGAAACTAGTGAGACTTGAAAAAAAAAAATAAGTATGTCAGCCCTCCCACTAGATGAGGTTATTACATACCTGTTTCTTGTATTCCAAAAAAGTAGGTCCAGAAGTCATTCTGGTTTTTTTTTTTAAGTACTGGAGTTTGAACTCAGGACCTCATGCTTGCTAGGCAGGCACTCTATCACTTGTCACTCCACCAGCCCCAGAAGTCACTCTGATCTTTAGGTAGATCAGAAATACCCACTTTTCCTTTAGGCTGCTGAGAAGAGGAATAGGAAAAAATAACCAAGGACATAAGAAATCTTTTTCCTTTTCCTTCATTGAGTCATTCAACAGACAATGATTTATGTGAAAGGTACTATACTAGGCAATAAGGATTTGAGTGTGGACAAGACTGTCTGCTGCCTTCAAGGAGCTTAGTCCAGGTAACCTCCACAACAGGTGTAGAAATACAGAAGCACATACCCAAATCTCACAAATCTGAAATAATTTCTTAACAGAGATTTGGATTCCTCCCTCCCCCAGCCAAAACAACATGTCAGAGAACTGGTAGGTTTTCTGGTGGGGATTCATCAGGTTTGTTTTCCTGCAAAGGAAATCTCTAGTATATGAAAACATGTTATGTTACCACCTTTTTAAGTACCAGTTTTTAGGACTGTTATTAAATAATTTCTCTTAATAACATTTCATAGAAATCTTAGGAAATCAGTCATGTCCTTAGGTATCCACAGCTTTTGTTAACCATACTTCATTTTTTCCCAGGGACTTTCCTCTGATTCCTAGTTTTTAATAACTTATTCTAAATTTATTTTTTCTTTCTCTCCTAGAAATGTACTGTTTTGATAGGTCATTGGCAGGACAGCAGGGGAGTGTCTAGATCTCATTAGTGGAAATACTGACATGTAAAATATACTTCAGGAATTGTGGAGGGAGATGATAATACTGATACTTCTGTGGGATGAAGCTTTATTCAGGTGTATTCCTTGGATTAGGTGATGAGCATGTGTATGAGCTTGGAATGTTGCAGAACTCACCTGACTTCTGCCTTTTCTATTTATTACACAAAGCTTATTGTGAAGATGCAACAATTCCATGTTATTCACAGATATGGTACATTGTAGAGAATAGCAAGAACTCAAACCTTTTCTTAAAATTTAGTAAAAGAGGGGCAATGTTCCTTAAATTCAAATAGTATAGTAAGACCTGAGAATATGACTAATTCCAATTTGTACTATTTCATTGTAAATGAGTGTTTTTCTATTGTGTTATGTCTAGGAAGAACACATGCTTTTCCAACTTGAAGAAGGGATTGAAGCTTTGGAAGCAGCAATTGAATACAAGAATGAAACTATCCAAAGTCGCCAGAACTTACTTAGAGCATCATTTCAAAATCTACCTCATAGTGAAGCAAATGTCCTGGAAAAACTAATTTGCCTGACTCCCGTTGAGATTAGAGCTATTCTTTTCAGATATTTCAATAAGGTTTGTTTTTTTTTTTTTGAGGAACAGTATTTTTCTAATAGAGATCAAGTTGCTCCCCGTATTTATATTTAATTTTTATTTCAATTATTTTTGGCTGCACTGAGGTTTGAACTCAAGGACTTCATGCTTGCTAGGCAGGTGGTCTTACCACATGAGCCACTCCACCAGCCCTTACATTTAATTTTTAAAGAAAAAATTTAAAGGCTCAAAGATTTGATGGTGTAACTACAAATCTAAGCATGACTTCTGTTTACAGCACTGAGTATGTTCTTCTGCATACGTAGGCTTAACTTTTTGTGAGGTGCTTCAAGTTGGAAGACCTTTCATTAGAAGGCCTTTTTGACATAGTTTTAAAATCAAAGGATTTAAAGTACATTCCTTCTGTATTTCTTAAGTCTAGATTTGAATGTTGCTATGCAGCATACATGAAAAAATCAAGGCTCCTCCAACTTTTAACTTCTTTTTCTTCATTGCTGTAGGGTAGATAAACCTGTACTTTTCTTTAATAATATGTAAATTGCAATGGAGATGAAGTGGTGCATTGGCAGCAAAGGTAGTAGTAGATTTTATTAACCTCATATGCATAAATCAATTAAAATATTTTATTACATACAAATTTGACAGTTTACTGAACCAGAGATGTTTCATAGCATTGAGAAATATGTTGATCTTTTTTCTCGTATTTTTTCCACTTATGATACATATTATGAAGTATTATTTTCTCCAAAAAACATATTGTTTATAGGAATATCAGACAATTGATAAAAAGCACTCAAGTATTTTTTAAAGTTCTAATTATGTGAAATAAAGATAAAAGGTGAATGAAAATGTTATATACAGCCTCATCTTTAATAATCACTATCAGTAATTACTGTTATTTATGAGAGTGCATCCTATTGCTGTGTGTTTGGAGAGCAGAAAAATGGTAGAGTACTGTGCTAGGCTTGGATATAGAGAACTCTTTTGTGGTATGTTTAAGGGTTCTTAACCCAAGGTCCAGTACCCTAGCCAAGGTTGGTGGGTTTTCAATATTTGTAGAAATATTGTTTTGAAAAGAAGGTCATTAGATGACTAACAAGTTCTGTGACAAAGATACTGTGTCTTAAGTATTTTTACTTGGGAAGAATCAAACAGACAAAATGCAAGTCCTGAAACCTTTTTAAGGTCAAAAAATTGTCACTTGGGGTTAAGCAGGGAATTATCTAGATTTGCAATAATAAGAATTCTTCTTAATATCCATGTAGATTAGACAAGTAAGGTTACATTATTCAGGAGGTACAGATCAGGAGGATCAGGATTTAACACCAAACTGGGCAAAAAGTTAGGAAGACAAGATGGATATGGTGGTACATACTTATAATCTCAGCTACATGAGAAGCATACGTAGGAGGATCATGGTCTGAGGCTGGCTGGGGGCATTGTTCAAGTGATAGAGTGGCTGCTTAGCAAGTGTGAGGTCCTGGTACTGACAGAGGAGAGAGAGAGAGAGAGAGAGAGAGAGAGAGAGAGAGAGAGAGAGAGAGACAGAATTGTATAATGTAAACCTCAGAGATCACATCTAAGAAGTTTTGAAGGGTAATATTACAGAACAACAATATTGAAAATAAAAGTTACCAGCATTGCAGAAAATTCCAAAGGTTGTTTTGTGGGTATGTTATAAAGCATTTATCTAGGGACACAGCACCTTTTAGGAAGCACTTATGCTGCAGAGATTAAGAAGTTCACTTTTATGTCCAAGAAAAGTACATTAATCTATTGTGTTAGGCTATGTAAGACACATTTAAGAGATAAGAAATGTCTTCACTAGGTGGTTAATTTGCGAGAAGCTGAACGGAAACAACAGTTACAGAATGAAGAGATTCAAATGAAGGTTCTTGAACGAGATAATATGGTTCATGAGTTGAAATCTGCACTGGAACATCTGAAATCTCAATGTGACTCGAGACTGATCCTCCAGCAAAAGGAACATGAACAAAAGATGCAATTGCTGCTACATCATTTCAAAGGTAACTGCCCCTTTTTGTCAGTTACACAAATGTGATGGGGATGGTATTGAGGAATTCAGTCACTCAACATGGGATCCAACATGTTACTACTTCTACCAGTTTTTGGCCTTTACATGTTTTGGGAAAGTTCACTTTGATGTTAAGGCTATTCATACTTGAAATGCTATCCCTCTATCTGTCCCATCACACACAAAAAGTGCTACAATCCTGTTAGTTTGTTGGTCTAGTTTTTATGTGAAAATGTGGACTAAGCTTTTTGGTGTTCAGTGAAAAATGTTTTGTCTCACAAAAATAACAGTACTATGAAACTTAAATTATTTTCCATTCATAAAATTAAAGTGATAGGCTGTCATATTCCTAATTACTTTTCTTATTTTATTTTTCAGTTGATTATAAAGTTTTGTGCATTAATATTATATCTTAGGCTAAAATTAGTCTACCATTAATGGGCACATAGTGATCAGCAGTTCAGCCATTAACTCTGATGTAGAAAGAGAGCTGTCACAGCAATCAGGTTGCACATTACTTGGGCATACAGCCAGTACAGAACAGCTGCTATGGCAATAGAATCACTGCCAAGTGATAACTGTTTCTGCTTCAATCCAGGCTGCTTAGTCTTGATTCTAGTGAATCCATAGCTGAAAATGGATCAAAGGGGATCTGGAAGAAGCAAACCGAAAATGCAGAAAATTGGAAAATATGTGAATTTGAGTATTGAGGCAACTTGCCTCTAAGTTTATTGTTTAACTGCCTAATTAGCAACCAGTGTCTAATGATAGGATTTCCTTGGCAGGATTCCATGTCATTGCATTCAGACATGCTCTTCTTACCTTAGTTTCATTCTGTTTAAGTCTCTAAAAGTGATATTTAAATAGAATTTTTATGTATTTTTTAAGTGACCAGAATTATACATCAAAGGTCATGTTATAGCCAAATGAGAACATTTTAAAAAAATCAATTCATTTCTATAGCATACAAGTTCTTCATAACAAAGTTTTAACAGAAAATGTTAATGAATTTTATAATTTCATCTAAATGAATATGGAAAATAAAAGTTGATTTGTATGTTTTCATTTTACTTCTTTTGCAGGGCTGGGTATCAAACTCAGGACCTTGCACATGCTAGGCAAGTGCTTTACTACTGAACTACACATTCCCAGCCCTACTTTATGGGGATTCTGATTTATGATGTCATTAATTTTACATAATTTTTAAAACAAGAGGATGGGTTAAATTAAACTAAACTACATAAATAAGTAAAACTTTACAAAACAGCTGATTATAACAAAATTACAAACCAGCAGGACCATTTTATAAATATATCAGTAGGAGAGATAAACCTGAAAATATATATTTTCTTAAGGTCAGTATGCTGGATTTTACTTCCTAGAATAGGGTTAGACATAAATATTAACTATAAGCTTTACATTATGATGGGCATCAACTAGAGTTTACACTGGCTGTCTTCCCACTTTTTCTTTGGTGTTTACCTGTGTGACCTAATCTTTCCTCTTCTAACAGGTTTTCTTTTTTTGTGAGTTTTTTTGGCTATATATTTCTTGGGCCTGTAGAACTTAGGCTTATGACTTTCCATATAACCACTGTTCCTGAAATAAATTTAAAGATACTGACACAGCTAATGAACAAAGTTCCAGGTATGAACTCTTAATAATACCTACTGTGCTGTTCTAAGGATTTTGTTTAGTAGTAATTGCAAAAAATGTTTATGAGTCATAAATATGTTGTGGTTTGTAGGAGGTAGGCTGGACAAGGTAACTAAAGGCTCAGTTCTTTGAAAATTTTTATAGATAGAAAAATTCAAATGTGGCTGAAAAAAAAAACATTCAGATAACAGGTATGTGTAGTATACTGACTTTAATGATAGTCTGGGACTGTATTAAAACATAGTTGTTAATCACTTATTTAAAACCAAGTTTAAATTAAATGTAAATTTCTGCTTTGTAGAACAAGATGGAGAAGGCATTACAGAAACTTTAAAAACATATGAAGATAAAATCCAGCAGTTGGAAAAAGATCTTTATTTCTATAAGAAAACCAGCAGGGATCTTAAGAAGAAACTTAAAGAACTGGCACGGGAAGCAGTTCAGTGGCAACAAGCATTATCAGAAAGTAAGACTTTTAGGGTTGTAATGCTAACACTGTTTACCTAGCATTTGGTGAATTATCATATAGCATTTCCTAAGAGACTGGTTTATTTAGGATGAGACATTTACCTTTTGCTTGTCCCCATAGATTAAAAAATGGCTTTTTGTTTACTGATAATACAGAACCCCATGAGAAGTGTATGAATGAGTGAACATGTGTCTATGTGTGAAGAAAATGATTATTTTAAATTTTTGTTCTAGAGGGCAAAGCTTTATTCACCATGGAGAATATTTAGATCAAATTTGAAAATATGGCTAAATGAAGTAGTTCAAAAGAATATGTTAACTTCAAATAAAGTTTGCTTCAAATATATCTTGTGTGGTATAAATGCTGGGATTAATTCTTCATTAATTGATAATCTCTGCACTATAATTAGCAATTGAAAGTAAATGGTGTATAATTAGCAATTGAAAGTAAATGATGTATGTAGAACCACACATTTTCCTTCAAGTACTGATCACTAAGTGCCACTATAAACCTTCTCTGAATTTTCTTAACAGTTGAGGAGCATAACTGACTTTCAGATATTTAAAATATGTAAAATATAAATACATAAACTACAAACTGTATCTAAAATGATACCTAAAACCGTAGCAAATGATCATTTATTATTTGCTATGTGCCAGTGGCTTTTATAGTCCTTAACTCATTTAATTCTTAAAATAACCTTTCTGATTACCAAAGTAAGCCTTCTGATTACCATAAAAAAATGGACAATGGAGAATAACAGAAGTAAAGGTAAAAGTTACATATTTCTAAGATAAATAAGTCTTCTATTATTATGACCTCTGGAAATTAAAAAATATAATTAAACCCCATTGTTGAGACAATGTAGACACATACAATTAGCATCTTTGTAAATAAAATGATCAAATATGATCAAACACTTGGCAAAAGTGAAAAATGCTATGAAAGTAATACATTATTATAATTTAAATATACCCTCCTTGAGACTGCAAAATGGAAAGGAATTAATATTCCTTTTTTAAAAAATCTATTTACTCACTGTGATTACTCATTCTTGTGGGGTAGCCCTCACTTAGGGAGTATAATCTCATTTCCATTTTGACAGTGGAAGTTATGGCACATACTCCAGAGTGCATTTGAACAGTAGAATCCTGTTACCATGCTGGGAGGGTCAACTAAAACCAGATTTTCATAATACAATGCCAAATTCCCAAAGTACACCTGGAGAATATGGGGCAGAGCAAGTATTCTCCAGAGAATACTTGGCCAGGACTTGGAATTCACAAGCAACAAGCCAAGCAGAGGGCAAGCAGATCAAGGTAACAGAGAGACCCAAAACACTCCTGGGTTTCCAGGGAGTAGCAAAATCTCTAGAAGATGTGATTTCTCAACTTTGTTCCTTGAATTAAAATTGAGTTATTTACATGTAAGACACCAGTAAATGAAATAAGAACAATTCATATTCACACATCTGTTTGTAAAAGAAAAATAATTCTGAAAAACTTAGTATACTGAGTGGTAATAATGTAGTTATGTTAGGATATTATAATCAGAATATCTGTTTTTGAGGAAATATCTCCCAAATTTTGTTTTTTTGAATTATTTTAAGATCATAATGCTGGAGATGAAGTCCTAAACCCAGAAGAGGCAAGTATGCTTTCAGAAGAATTCAAATGGGCATCCAGAACTGAAAATACGAAATTAAGTGGAAGAGAAAGAGGAGACAGTTCTTCAAGCACCTTAAGAACACACCCATATTCTCAGAAGCTGTGGGAAGATGTCCCAGAGTTACCTGCAATTTTTAGGTCTGTAGTACCCCCTAGTGAGCAGTTGTTAAGCAATGAGGAGAAGACAGATAAAAGTCGGTTTACACAGTCTCCCAGTAGATTATCATCCCAAATGCAGCCAGTGGGAAATGTGGGACAGCTCCATGGTATCATGCCTGTAAAACTGTGTCGCAAAGAATTACGTCAGATTTCTGCCTTGGAAATATCCTTACGACGTTCCAGTTTTGGAGCTGGGGTTGGATCAATGACTGCCGATTCCATTGTAATATCTAGGAAACCAAGTGACTTAAAAACTTAGGCATTTAGCAATAGAACTTCTAATTTGGTAGATATGCAAAAGTTTCCTTTTTTTTACTTGCTAAAAATTAAAGCTCAAGCTCACTAGCTTTTCCCTCAGGATAAATGAAAAAAGGGGAGGGTTGAATCTCTACAATCTTTTTGTATACTCTCGTTATTTATTTCTATAGTAGATTCTATATAGTAAATTAGAGCTTCAATTTACATTTCCATAATAATCAAATGTTTTCTAATACTTGATAATAGTTAAATATTTCCACTTATAAGTATGCTTAATTTTTTAGGCATATTGGTTTTTAAATAATTTTTCAGGCATATTTGAAGAAAAAACTAATAGATTAAAGTATCCTTGAGATGTATATTATTATACATTAGAAAAGCATATTATAATATAGTAACTGTATTACTGTTATTCTAAAATACAAGCATATTGCTATTTTTCAAAAGGTCCAGCTAAATGTTGCTTGTGTTAGAGGGAGTCACCTGTTGCATATGTTTTGTTTTACCACAGCTGAAATTTTGTGCTAAAATGCAGTCTGTGGGCTAAGGTAATTTGCCAGGTTTCCGGACAGAAGTGATTTACAGTTCTCAGAGGCCATAGAGGTTGAGGTCAATCTGGACTTTTTAAACACAGTTTCTGTTCTTTTTCTAGAATTGCTTTTATTTATACTATTGGTTTGCTAACATAATACAATTACGTTTTTACCTTTCTCCTGTCCTATGCATTCAGCATAACTCTCATATGCTAACAAAATTAGAAAATGCTGGATGCACTTCCATGGAATTGGGAAGCAGTGATGGAACACCACTAAAGCATTCAACATTCCAAGGAAAAGAACACTGGTTGGGACCAATCTAGTTACATGGAGTATGTCTGTAAAGCTTCACGTCAAACCAGTGGAGCTTTACCTAATAGTCTGACGGGCAAAAATCTGAGGCTTTTCTCTACAACCTGTTTCATCAGATTTTTCAGACTGTCTATCTGAAAACTACATTGGGGCTATACATATGTAAAAGAAAATTTTGCTAAATTTCTCTTTAAGTTTTTCTTGGTCAAAATCTTTTTTTTTTTGGTCAAAATCTTATATAATATTTTGAATTAACAATTTTCCCACCAGTTTTTTCCACCATATTTTTCCATCACAGGCAACATCCCATTATAATGACCTCAGGTATTACTTTGTTACCTTTTATCACTTTTCTAAACTTCAATTTGTAAACCAAAGTTCAGTTTCTTGGACCAATTAATGTTTGAGCAGAGACAGCAGGAAAACTACCTTGACTTACAGAGGCCTTCTCAGTAAGAGCTACCCACTCACTTCCTTGCTGAATCCATTTGTTTTCATCTAATGCTGCTACTGACTTCTTTGTTTTTTACTTCCCTCTACTGCAGTTGACCTGAGCATCTCTTCTAAGACCCAAACTGTCACCCTGGGATGAAAACACTTAAGGCTTCTTTCTTTTTTCTAGCTGCTAGCTCCCTGTTCTATTGCTAAAATACAATTTCTATAGGAAAGGAGAAATAAACTTCTAAGTAGGTGGATAGTTTATATTTAAGCATGGTGCTAAAATTCATTTAAATTATGCGTTAAGTAGATTTTTGCGGACTTACAAGGAACTGGACAGTTTATTACATCAACCAAGTGAGAAACTGCTTCTTCAAGTAACTCATTTACAAGCTAACTTGGAAATTTTATTCTTGCCAGGGACTATTTGAAGTCATACTGGTTTTCAGCCAGTTTTCTTTTTCTTTCTTTTTGTTTTTTTTGCTTGCCTTTGGTTTACATATCAGTCTCATAGCAAAAACCCAGTGCCTTCAACAAGAGCATAGAAATTATACATTTATTACTTTGTAAATACTCCAGTGTACCCCCACCCAGCACAACAATAATAAAAAATTTAAAAAGAAATTATACATTTATTAGTAAATATACATTTATTAATGAATGTCCTAATCATAATTCCTTGTAGGATTAAGCAATATGCTATGCTTTAAGAAAGTATTCTGATACTAGAATCCTGCCTATGCAAGAAGCTAGTGGATATTTGTTTTACCTATGGAAATAAAAACATTTTCTCACTAAGAAAGCAAGAAAACTTACATCAAATTACAGTGATTCAGTCTGATAATGTAAAGGTGAATTGACTGCTAAGTAAGAAAGGTGTGAATTTTTTTCCCAGCATTTGGTTAAATGGATATCCTTTATATGCTATAATAGAACTCATGTACATACTCAAAACACACATACAAATAATGTACTGAATAGTGTATCCTAGAAGTGAACTTCTGGTCATTGTAGTTTATAGTCAGTATCCTTACAAAGGAAACAGAACATAAGGTACCTCCCCCCTGCAAATACAATTATTTTTAAAATATATGAACAGATTTTTACTTTCTTTTCACATGCTTTCCTTGGTCTAAACATATGTGGGGGTTTTGTTCATTATATATTTTAATTCTCTACCTATGACAGCATTTGGAAAGAAAATTATCTGCCTCTAAAAATACTAGTTCCTTCCTTAACTCCAGAGTGTTACAGATAACAGAGTTGGAAAATTCTTTAATATGGGAACCATGGATGATGAAAACATTGATGAAACATTGATGCTTTTGTACTTTTTGTTGGTGCTGGGTTCAACCCAGGTTCTCTCACATGGCTAGGTAAATGCTCGACCATTGAATTATGCTCCCAGCCTGCTTTTTTACTTTAATGCTTGTATTTTTTGGTTCTTCAATTATTTATACATTTGTGAACCTCAGGTTCCAAAAAATCAGCAGAAGTATATATGACTTTCAATCATGTGGACTATATTGCCACTAGCCATTGCTCTGTTTATATTTATTAATCTAGGGCAATAAACTTATGAATGCTTATTTGAGAATAGGTGACTTACAAAGACCTTATATTAAGTCTTACTTAAATTATATGAGTCAAATTCTTGGTGGGGGATTCAGTTCTGTGGTTAAGTTTCAAACACTAAATACAAGTATGACATATTTTGATCTTTCAGTTATTTCCTTAGGCACACACTTGTGATTTTAAAATGCTGGGGTACCAATACATCTGAAGGTTCAAGTAGAAAGTTGCTCGTCTGCAGTTTCCCTGTTAACTTCATTGGAATTTTAAAAATAATTATGTATATTTTACCTTTAAAATCATAACAGGTTGTAGGCTGCCTCCATTAATACTAATATAACATGTTTATATTTTCAAAAATTCAAAATAAAGGTGAGATCCTTCTGCAATAAATGTCTCAAATGCATTGAGCCCAAATGGGCAGTGGTTTGCCAATGGTGGGGTAGGGGAAGCCTCTGCCTAATACAGAGCGGTATTTTATCACTGTCATTGCTACTAATAGGAAGCAAGCTTCCTATTAGTTTATAGGATTATAGTATTTTAGTTTTTAAATTTTCTACAAATACTGCACTCCTTATTGCTGTATAGGGGTCACTACTAACTTTCCTTGCTCTTGGAATGCACTCCATCAAATACTAGAATGGTGTTGTTATACGGGTCTTTGCATTGAACCCAGTACAATCCCAAATGTGGATAATTAGAACATGGAAAATTATTTTTTAAAAATCTAGAAAACTTTGATATCATAATGTTTTAAAAAATATTTTAATAGTTCTCATTTGTCCCTTTTAATACCCTTTTTCTTCTGGGAAGTTCCCCAGTGAGTCAACAGAATTGCTACTATTGGAAATGATAGCAATATAATTTGATTGTACTCAAAGATAATGAATTAGACTTAAGTGTTATTATTTATGCAGGCTTAGCACCCAGCTTTATTGAGTATCTTTCTGATTCTTTAAAAGAAAAATGCAGCACTCTCATAGACTGTTATAATGAGCAAATCCTTTATGGTCAAGGAACAAAACCATTCATAACAGAGAATGGCTCAAGGGTTAAGAGTGCCTGCCTACAATGACTTCCTATATGGAACTCAAATGGATTGACAAATGGGATTACATGAAATTAAAAAGCTTCTGCACTACAAAAGAAATGGTCACTAAATTGAAGAGACTGCCCACAGAATGAGAGAATATCTTTGCTAGCAATACAAAGGATTAATAATAAGAATATACAGGGAGCTCAAAAACCTAAACAAAAAAATCAATGACCCAATGAAGAAATGGGCAAAAGAACTGAACAGAGCTTTTTCAAAGGAAGAAGTCCAAATGGCCAAAAAAAAAAAAAAAAAAAAAAAGCACATGAAGAAATGCTCAACAACTCTAGCCATACAGGAAATGCAAATCAAAACCATATTAAGATTCCACTTCCCTCCTGTTAGAATGTCTATCATCAGGGACATAAGCAACAACAAATGGCAAGAATGTGGGGAAAAAGAAACCCTCATACACTGCTGGTGGGAATGTAAATTAGTATAACTACTATGGAAAACAGCATGGAGGCTCCTCAAAAAATTAAAAATAGAACTGCCATACAATCCAGCAATATCACTCCTAGGGATATGCCTGAAGGAATGTTAGTAAGGTTACAACAAAGGCACCGCATACCCATGTTTAATGAAGCACTATTCCTAATAGTTAAGCTATGGAAATATGCCCCTGATGAAAGGATTAAGAAAATGTGGTATTTACATTGTATTTACATACAATGAAATTTTGTCATTTGCAGGTAAATGGATGGAACTGGAGAAAATCTTCTTAAGTGAAGTTAGCCAGGTTCAGAAGGCCAAAGGACACATGTTTTCTCATGTGGAATATAAATGCAAGCAATATTATGAAAAACAGGTCCCGATAAGGGGTGGTCAAATACAAGTGAAGGAGGGTAAAAGAAGGAAATTGAGAAAGTGAATATGGTTGATGTACTTCCTATACAAGAATGAATATAGAATTAAAAAAAAAAAACCTGTTGAAATGATCATAAGATGGGGACTAAGGTAGAAAGAAAAACAGAGGAGGTAAACCAATTGGAGCTGTAATACATATATTCGTGGAAATGTCACAAGGAAACTCCCCGTATAGCTTAAACAAACAAAAATGTCATTTTTTTTTCTTTTACAAAATCAGAGAACAGGAGGGCAGAACAGGTCCTGTCTGGGGAACAGTGGGAGAGGGGAGAATGTGGGGAAAGGGTGTAGGAG